GGGTCACACAGGGAAGCCCGGGGGTCCTCAGGAGGCAGAGGGAGGTGTGGGGACATGGGCCAGCGCCTGTGTCTGGAGTGACTGGCTGAATAACCGCAGCAGGCTGCGGGCCCAGGGCTGTCCCTAGCTGTCGGGTCTCTGGCCCTGGGGACACCAGGACAGGTGGAGAGTGGCCCAGAGTGCAAGGGCACAGTGAAGGAGGTGACCGTGGGTGCGCAGGGATGGCTCCGCCTGTGAAACCCACTCTCCCCGAGTCCCCTACACCCTCAGGAACTGGCTGGCTCTGGGCCGGGCAGTCTCTCTGGAGGCCACAGATGGAGAAGGCCCCAGAATAGGAGATATGCTTCCTACAGGTTAGGACACCGCGGGGGACCCTCAGAGACCGGGCAGTGGAATTTACCAAGTGGTGCATTAAGACACCAGACACTGATATGTTTGGACACCTGGCATCTGTGTCGCTGAGCGCCCGGCGTTGGATCTGGCGTTAAGCACAAGTACCCAGGGGACCTATATTGAATTCCTAAATTAAGGGCCGGGTTTGGAGTCTCTCCAGCCCCTGCACACTGAAGTCATTTTGGGAGAAGAATAAGGCACTGCGGTTCCACATGGTGGCCCTTCCCCTCTCCCTCTAGAGCCACCAGGAACCCACATCTGCTCACACCCGTGCAGCGCTGGAGCTGGGGACCGGTGGGGTTGACCTTACTGCAGGCCTTGGCCGACCCGCAGGGTCCCACACCTCCAGCCAACTGCAGGGCCCCGGATGTGGGGGTGGGGGTGGGGGCTCCGGGCAGCCCCACCCCTTGGCCGGCTCCAGGTGTGGGCTCATTTAGGAGACGCTATTGATTTTCACATTATAATGCACAACTCATGAGGTGCGGGAGGGAGGGTGGAGAGGCGCCAGTCACTGATTCCTGGAATTTATTTCTAGACACATTAATTTGTTTCTTCCCTTCAAGGTCAAATCAAGTCATCTCCATACATCACCCTTGGCAGCTGGCTGGCTGCAGGGAGCTGGGGCGGGGGTGGGGGTGCTGTGGGGCTAAAACTCCCCGCGACGCTCCGGTGGAAGTCAGTTCTGGGCACTCCAGTCCCAGCTTCGTGGAAATGAGGGTTTTGGAACAATATTCCTCCACCACTTGGTCGGGAGGATCTCTGGGGAAGGGGCTTATCGTCTATCTTGATGTCAGATCTTTTGTCCTTGGCCCACAAGTTCCCAGAACCGAAATGAAGCAATTTTAGGAGTTTGAGATTTTTGCTGGGAGCCTGATTTTCCGAGGTGACCTAAACTCACCCTTCAGCCCTTCATTCCATAAATATATATGGTCTCCAGTGTGCCAACTCTGCGCTTGGCATAAAACACAGCACTGGAGGAGATGGGAAAAGAAAATTCCTGTTTTTTAGCAGTGTGCACTGCAGGCTATGTGAAGCCTCTCACAGTACTATACTATAGGGCAGGGCAGTATTTGCAGCCGAAGAGAAGGAATATGCAAAGGTCCTGGGGTGAGAAGGAGAACAGAGTTTGAGGGACAGGAAGGAGACCTGTGTGTAGGGAATAAGATAGGGAGCTGTGGGGGATGAAGTTGGAGAGGTGACAGGAAGTGACAGATCATGCAGGACTTCCAAGGTGGTAGAAAGGAGTTTGGATTTTGTTTGTTTGATTCATTCATTTGTGCATCTGGCGAGTATGAAATGCTTCCGTGCGACAAAGTGTCAGGAGTTAAGAACTCAGTGGAGAAGTGCCCACATGTGGCCTCTGCTTTCCTGAGACGTGTAGTCAAATCTGGGGAGCAGCTGGCTCTCTGGGAAAGCCAGGCCCTCCTGAGATATTGAAATAAAAATGTAGCAAACCTTCTATGGAGTGTCCTCCTCCAAACATCGGCGCGGTCTCCGAAGCTCCATTCTCAGGGTCCCTTCTCCCTTCCCCGTCCTGCCATGAAGGAGCCTCTCTGTACTTTGCTGTGGGTGACCTCAAACGCCGTCCACCCCCTGCCCCAAGACCACGCCCACAAAGCACCCCCAGGTGCAGATGGCACCCTAAAAGTTGGACTGCCACGTGAGTCTCATAATGCAAAGAATTTAAAATGGAATAGTGCGCAGGGTGACTTTAGCTTCCAGGTCCACCCTCCTGCTGTTCCTCACCCACCCCCCTGGCTACAGTCTAGCTGCTGCCGTCCTTATGGATGGCCCCAGGCCTTAGCCATCTTGCTTGTGTCCTTGGGCAGGTGCCCAGGTCCTCCGTGGATGGGTCTCCACTCTGCCCACTTGGGGTCGAACCCCTCGGGGGCCAGGAGGGGTGAACTTGGAAATAACAACCTTGCTTTCCCCATCCTCTTTCCTGCCTCCCCAAGGGGGAAGAAGTGGGACCCGGTGCCTAGTTCTGTGTCTTACCTAGAGCAGGTGGTCTAGGAAGTATGTGTTGAGCAAATCGGGAATGGAGGGGGGTCCCCCTAAACTGGAATAATTCCTCCTCCCCCTTCCTTGAAAGCAGAATAGACTGGATCCATTTGGGGTTTTGTTATTAGTATTTGCTTTGCTACTAAACACCCAGATGGTTACAATAATCTCTCTGTGTTGGGTGAGCGAGAGGGAGGCCCACATGAGACCTTGGAGAAGGAGCCAATAAAGAGGGAGGACCAGTGACCCTTGGAAGGGACAGAAGCAGGGTGGGCAACGTTCTGCTGGCGAGAAAGGGCCTGGGAGGTCAGAGGAAGAGAGAAGCCAGGCGGGTGCGAGGGCCGGGGGGGATTCCGGGCTGCAGTTACTGAGATAGTCCAGGGACAGATCCAGCAGCCTCGCGGGTCTCGCCAAGAAGTCTGGACTCTGTCTTGTGAACAACAAGGAGCATTTTCAAAGGAGCATGCGGTTCTCCTCGGCTCATGTATTCTCTCCCGCCTTCTGTGTCCGACCCTCAAGCCTGCTGTACCTCCTCCTGGAGCAAGCCATCCCTGAGTCCCACCCTCTGCCAAGCCCCGACTTGCTATATGGCGGACTCAGTCAAGGTACTTTCCATGTTGCCTTGTTGGGAGAAAGGCAGGCAGAGGGGCAGCCAAAGGCCTGCAGCGGGGCTGCCTGGGCCTGCTGTCCACCGGGTGTGTGACTGGAAGCGGGGCACTGGCCACTTTCATGCCCCAATTTCCTTCTCTGCAAAGGGGTCATAGAGCCGGACCTTCCACATAGGCCGGCAGGGTGATTAGAGGCACTGACGGGCACAGGGCCCTCTAGAGGGCGTCCAGCGCATGCTTAAGGTCCCCTGAGGGACCTTCTCTCTTGCCTCCCTCACTAGACTGGGCGCCTGGTGGCCAGTGACTGCCTACTGCCCAGGACCGAGCAGGGTATCTGCGCAGGACAGACGCTCTGATCCAACCATCTTGGGGACCTTAGGGAGGTCTGGGGACCCTGGAGAAGCGGCCCTACACTCTTTCTGGACTCTTCCCCAAGCAAACACGTGGGTCCAAGTCACCACGTGACTCACCCCACCCACCTCCTCCTCCTCGGCCTCCGCTCCCTCATTGCAAAATGAGCATCTCCCTGGGGATGCAATGGGACTGGCTCCAGCGATGGAGCATGTGACCCAGACCTGGCCAATCAAAACGCTGGTTTCTTGAACTAGTTGGATCAGGACTGGTCATGTGATCTGAGCTGGTCCTATAAGAATGAGTCTTAGGAAGATGCTAGAGGGTCTGGGGAAAGCCGGGCTCTGCTCCCTCAGGACTGGGATGTGGGAGGATGCGAGGCTGCAGGGATGGCAGCCGTTTTGTGGTCACAATGAAAGGACATGCGGTGGAGGGGGCATGGGGGGCTGGGAGCAGGGGAGAGGGGACAACAGGAAGAACAGGATGCAGCCCGCACCACACTCCACTTCAACAGCCCGGCTCCCTACCACCCTCTCGGTTCAGGGTTCTGTGCTCCTGGCAGCATCTGAATCTGTGGCAGCCATTGAACCACTGATTGCCCTCACAGCTGCTGTGCTGCTTCCCAACAGAACCGCATTTGGTTCATGTTCTGGCCCATCATGGCTGCCCATTTCCTTTGTACAGGGATGAGTGTCAGGATAGACAGGTAACCCAGTTTGGGCCAATGAGATAAAAGAAGATATCTACTGGAAGCTTCTGAGACATACTTTGCTCACTGATAAAACAAAAAAGTCAGTTGAGAAGAACTTTTTACCTCTGCTTTCTCTTCCCAGACATTGTCATAGGAGGATGAGATGCTTGGAGCTTTTGCAGCCACCTTGCAACCATGAGGATAGACTGTAACTTGTCAGAGATGGTAGAGGGAAAAAAACAGAAGCACTCCAGGTTCTTGGTGGCACAACAGCTGAAGAAACAACGCTGAGACCACTGACCCCTAAACTTCTTGTGAAGTTAAATAGCTTTTTATGTCCTTTAGGCCACTATTAGCTGGGCATGGTTACCTAAAGCCACAGCACTCCTAACTAATAGCGTCTAAGTGATCCGGCATTTTGCTTCTCACCAAAAGAAACACAGAAGGCTAAGAATATCAGCTCCTTTATTGTTGTTATTCACTTTTTCACTGTTATTTCCCCCCTAAACAGCAGCACAAGTCAAACAAGGACACACACACATCGCCCTACAGATAGGACCCCACAACTGCCTGGCTTTTTGCCTATTCTTGGCAGAGCGGTCTGGAGACAGTCCCCTCTGTAAAAATCCCAACTTGGACATAGGAGACACAAGAAGGGTGTACCTTAGCCAGAAAAATTCACTGAGGGAGTCCCAGAGTCCTTGGAGTGTCCGTTTGGGGACCTTGGGAGCATGCTGTAAAGGTCTGGGCTGAGGGCAGAAGGCACTGTTTGTTTTCCCGGGTGGGCGGGGATCTAAACCTGAGGATCCCCCTTTGCAGACCAGGGGGGTGAAGAAACACACTGGCGCCAGCCCGTGGGCTCCACCCACCAAACCCCAAGGCAGGCACAATCTGAGTAATGGGGAGGTCCCCGGAGAAAGGCAACCCTCGCACTAGCTGCAAGGTCAGATGCAAGGTGAAATGTCAAGTCCCCATTTATTCATTTTGCAATTAGAGAATGTACAGTGTTTACATGGAGATAGATTTAAAAAAAAAAAAAAGTCACAAAAGAAAAAAACCTCCCAGGACTCTTTGGCCTCAGGCAACCAAGCATGGGTCTGCCCACGACGACGCCCTGTGGAGGAACCTAGTACTACACCATCCAGGGACTCTGTGGTCCTTCTCCCCATCCCCATCCCCATCCCCCCTCAGCCTTGGAGTCGCACTAAATCTGAGTTCAGCTAAAGTCCTGTACCCTGGAATCGGAGAAGCCCTGGGGCTGGGGAGGGAACAAAGGGTGGGCCGAGGCTGGGGTCTCAGGTGCAGGTGACTTCGGGGCTGTCCTGAGGGAGCTCATGGCTGAAGCTGCTCTCTCCAAATGGTGAGTAAGGGGGCACCTGGGGAGCCTCGATGATCAGCAGACCCTCTGGGGACAGCGAGGCAAACACGGTCACAGGATCCACCTCCGCAGGAAGCCTAGGAGAAGCACAGAGTCGAGCCACCTGTCATTTTTCCTGTGACTTAGACATTGGTGTTCATCTGAAAGAAGGTGACCTTAGGCTGGGGGGGGCACCATGCCGGCTCTGAACCCCAGATCTAGTCTCCCTGCCTGACCTTGGAAGGCCCCCCAATTGCCCTTGGTAGGTGAGTTTGGATCCTCTTCTACAAAGAGCCGAGGAGGAATGAGTTTAATACAGTCAGGTGGGCAGAGTATCTCACAGAGCGGCTCAGAGTCGGACTGCCGGTGACACCCGGCCCCAGCAGTAGCTCTTAACTCAAAAGGGAGCCCCGGACCCCGCATCAGTCCTAGCTTGAGGTCACCGTGGACCAGTTGCTGGGAAAAATGACCACGGCTAGTGCTCCTCATGGAGGTCAAGTCAGGGGTTATAGGAGCTGACATGTCTCCATTTGCCGTGTGCCTGGTGGGGAGTACTTGATGGCAAAATGCATTAGCGGTGGGATCATGGGTGGGACCGTCGTGTAGGTAGGTCAAGGGGTCAGGCTGGCCACATGGATGGCTTTCCGATGGCAACATACTCAGGATGGGATTCAACAGGTCTCAGCAGGTCACAATTGTTTTGTTCCCCAAACTCAGCTGTAGGCGTCACCTGGTTGGAGCTTCGTGAGAGACGGGTATGGGGAATAGGTAAGAACTAACGTGCCTATTTCACAGATCACTAAGTGGAGGCTTCGGGAAACCAAGTGGCAAGCCATGTACCAGCTCTCTCAAGGGGAGTGAGAGAGCATCAAAGATGGGATTTATGAGCCCAGACCTGGTTCCAATGCTAATAAGATTTAAAATAAATAAATAAATAAATTTGGGGTTATTTGGGAATGAATGAGGCTCTCTGGGACACGGTTTCCTCAACAAAGTTGAAACTGCATGGTCATGTTGATGGCTTCATTGAGATGGCATTATTAATAAAAATAACGAAAGCTATGACCTTCTGAGCACCCTTTTTATGTGCCAGGTATCTAAAATTATCTCGTTGAGTTGTTAACAATAACAATAATCCAAACAGGTGGATTTTACTACTATCCCCAATTTACAGTTGAGATTCAGAGAGGTGAACGGACTCCCCCAAGGTCACACAGCTGGGACTCGGCAGATGGGAATGCGAATTGGAACCCTGGGCTCCAAACTCAGAGTAGCCAACCCCGATCCTCTACCACCTCCCTGGGCACCAGACTTGTGAAATAAAGGACCGTGGGGGGGAAGTCAGTCCCCAGAGGCTCTGCCTGTTTTAACCGCAGGGGTCTTGATGATCCTCAAGAACCAAGGTATGAGCCGAGCCTGTTCGTGATCATGGGAAGGACCCGTCACAGAAGGGCCAGGGAGCTGTGACCCTGAACAGAAACCCGTGTGACCCTGAGCCACAACCACCCCGAGGACGCCCTGCCAACTCGAGACCATGGAGATCAGCAAGAGCGCTTCCCAGGACGGTGGTGGGCGAGGAAGAGGAGCCAGGGGCAGTTGCCGAGCCAAGCTCTTGAAGCAAAGGAGGCCAAACACCTGGGGCTCCCTGTGGCTGTGGGGATGGACAGGTGCCTGGCACCAGGTGGCAGAGCCAGGGCTTTGCAGGTGGACGGGGTACTGGAACTCGGACTCTTCCTGGCCGTCAGAGTTGGGGCTGGTCCTCTGGCCTCTCTAAGCCTATGTCCTGGGAGGGGAAAGGGGGTGACACTGGTATGCATCCATGTCCTGGGGAGGCGCATCAGCATCGCGACACCAACTGCAGTGTCATCCAGCCCTGGAACACTGACCCTCAAGGGATCGTCTTGGTCACCCGGGACTGTGCTGTGTCATTATGCACGGGGAATCCCAGGCCTGGAGACGGGCTTAGACGTGCCCAAGGTGTCTCCCCAGGTGACCCGGGGTTGAGCCCCGATGGTGGGAAAGCTAGGACTCCGATCATCCTGCGGACGCCGTTCTGCGCCCACCGATGCCGGTTTGCTCTGTCACCCAAGTCGGGGGAAGAAAAGCGCCCAGCTGCAGTCCCACCCTGCCCCCCTCCAGATAGGCCCATCCCTCTGTCCCCTCTGCCATCCAAATGCGGCCTTTGGGATGCATTTCCTGCCTGGGTGGAAACCCCCAAGGATCCCAGTCGGGCTGAAGAAGAAACTCCCCTGACCTCTAACGACTGTGGTTTTCCCAGGAAGAAGCCATGAGGTCTCCTGAGATTGGCCCGAGGCTGTCCCCCTCTCCGGCCCCACTCCTTGAAGTCGACAATCTGAGCAGGGCCAGGAGGTCCCAGGAGCCCCAGCGGCTCTCCTGCATCCCAGCCCTGTGGAGTCTTGGCTTAGAGCTCATTCCCACGGACCCAGCCCGGTCCCCAACCCTGGCTAGAGGTTGTATCCGCAGGCTAGCCAACAGCTTGACATCTTTTTCCTTTTGATACCAGGATTGAACTGAGGGGCACTCGACCCCTGAGCCCCATCCCCAGCCCTGTTTGGTATCTTATTTAGAGACAGAGTCTCCCTGAGTTGCCGAGGGCCTCGCTGTTGCTGAGGCTGGCTTTGAGCTCGCCATCCTCCTGCCTCAGCCTCCCGGGCTGCTGGGATGACAGGGGTGCACTCCCGGGCCCCAGCTTTACATTTGAACAGTCTTAACACTCTGTCCACCACCCGCTGAAGAGCAGCCCGGCCTCCAGCCACTTCAGCCATTGGAATCTGGTCAGGGAATTCCCAGCAAGCTTTACCCCAGGCTTCAGAGCCCGGGGAATGGCCATCTTTAAAGAGGATAATTTCCCCGAGTTATCTCCTGGGCCGTCCCCTCCCCAGCGTGGCCCTGCTTGGGATGCCCCTGGAGCTCTCTCGTCTTGAGTCTCTGGAGAGACACTGACAAGAACTGTAATAATCAATGGCCACTACGAGGACCCCCTGGGGGCCAGCAGCCTCAGCTGGTCACTTTCCAAGACTGGGATCACCCCTGACAGAGCAGGAGCCAGGTTTCCTTGGTCACGGAGGCCAGAGGTCAGCCATCTGTTTAGGGAGGGTCATGCTGAGTTCTCAGAGTAGACCTGAGCCAGACCCTTTCGCTTGTGGGGACTCCGTTTCCCCCCAATACAAGGACGGTGGTGTGTCTTCTCCTAAATGCAGCCGGCCAGGGCTGGGGAAAGGCCCAGAGCAGGGCCCTGCTGACCAGAGAGGTCACCCCTCCCCCTCTGGCACCCCCCTGCAGCTCTGCCACAGTTTCCTCTCCCTCTAGCTGTGACAGTTCCATTCCTTGCTCCAAGGCGGGGAGGCCTTGCAAGAGCTAGGCGAGGGACAGAGAGCCCAGACCTGGGTCCTGGCGCCCCGGCCCTCCCCATCTGGAGCCCCCCACCCCTGACCCGTCCCCAGGTCACTCACTGAATCTTCTTGGTGAAGTTCTTGGAGACGATGCCTCCTTCCTGCTGCTTCTCCTCGTGTTTGCCTGCAAGAAAGAGGAATGTCACATGTCGCCACCTGGGTCCCTGGGAGGGCACCCCGCAGGGCTCCAGTCCTGTCTGGCTGTGTGGCTGAGGGGTGGTCCAGGGTCTCTGTGCACTCAGGTCCACCTCTCAGGCGGCCATGAGGATGCAGCAGGGTCCTGCAGGGAGAGGGGCTTGACTCTGGTTGGGGACATCTGCTAGTCTTAGGAAATGGTGGAAACCGGGCCCTGGTGCACCAGATCGTCCATTTCTCTCCCCTGACTCCTGCCCGCTGGCCAGGCAGCGGGACCCCAGGGCTCACAGCCCAGGCTGGGGGGACAGGGAAGGGCAGCCACCTGAGGAGGGACCCTTTCTATCCAGCTTGCTTTAGCTCCTTCCAGGCTCTGAGGTGGGGCTGCCTGCTCCCCTGTGGTCCAGGTGCACACAGAGGCCCCGGTCAGGCCCGGGGGTTACCCAGCAGGTCCCTGGCCGCTCTGGGCTTTGAATCAGCTGTCTCTGAATCTGCAGCCTGATGCCCTTCTGCCCTCTGATTTCTGCCTGTTCCAGTTCCCGATTAGCCCTTTTAGAACCACATTATCTGTACCTAGTAGTGAGAGAACATTCTAGAACAATGCATTGATATGCGGAACACTTCCAGCCTCTCCTTAGGGAGGCCATGGAGCCACGGAGGTGACATTTTCACCAGCCCCACCTCCCACAGGGAGGAAAAAAATAAATCCAGAAGGAGTCTGGGACCCAAACTGGCTTTTCTCTTGCAATTTTGTGTAGCAAATTCGGATCCTCTGGGCCCCTCCTCTTCCTCCTTCTTTTGAGTGCAGGGATCGGGTTTCTTTTTGGATGAACAGGTGCACAGGGGCGCTTTCTGCCGGACCACAATCCAGAACCTCACTTCCCCAGGGGGCCAGCCCAGGGCTCTGGAATCCAGACTATTATAATCTTATAGGATATGCTGTCCTCTTTTGCTGTCCGGAGTTTTTTTTTAAACTGACAATTTATAGGTGATCACCTTTCCTCTTTATCATTAATTATTCATTTAGGGACCCTTTTCTGATTACATACATAATGCATATCCATGTTATAAAAGGTTAAAAAAAGGAAAAAAAATCAAGACCACCCATAGTTCCATCTTTATAGGTTCCAGATGTTTCTTTATGTTGCTTAGAGAGGCACAAATGTTATTTGGTAGAGACAGGAGCCATATATTTTATTAAATGGGGATCGCTCTGTGCGTTATGCTTGCAGCCTGTTTTTTCTGTCTGGCTAACATGCTCTAATTGTTTTTTTCCATAGTACCCAATATTCTTGGACGATGTGCCTTTTAGTGGTGTACAGCGTCCCACTGCAGAGATACAGGACAGCTCACTTAGTTCCCCACTTTTGGACACTGAGAAGGTTCCTGACATTGGAACAAACCCCGGTTGCACTCAAAACTGAAGCTAGATCCTCGTCCTGGGTCCTGTGGCTTCCTTAGGAGAGATTCTCTATGCTTTAGACTTTCTTTCTTTCTTTTTTGGGTACTGGAGATTAAACCCAGGGGTGCTTAACCACTGAGCCACCTTCCCGGCCCTTTTTAATATCTTGTTTAGAAACAGGGCCTCGCTGAGTTGCTTAGGGCCTCCCTGAGTTGCTGGGGCTGGCTTTGAACCTGCGATCCTCCTGCCTCAGCCTCCCGAGCCCCTGAAGTCGCACCATCGCACCTGGCTCATGTTTTAGAATGTCTAAGGCTTGTTCCCTATGGCTACTTTGCCCTCAGGAAGCCCTGCACCCACTTGCTCTCCCACCGTGAGGAAGAAGTGGTGCTTTTACAGGGATTCGTTTCTGAACCAAGGATCTGGCCAGCAGAACCGGCTACGCAGGGAATGTACCGTCACTCCAAAAGTTTACTCTCTGTTGCCAACACTGTAACAACCAACCGCCTGGCTCTAGCATGGGCGCGGGGCCAGAAGAACACTGTCTGTTCTCTGGTCCTCTCCCCAAAGCCTGGGCCTCCAGAGCTGCTTCCCCTGGGGACCGGCCAGTGCCTCTGACTCAGCCCTTTTGCACCCTGGGACCCCCGGTCTCTGCTGGGCCCAGAGAATGAGGAGAGGATGATGGTGGTGGAGGTGGTGGTGCTGATGATGATGGCGAGCTTGACGGGGCCTTCCTTGACCCAGAATCATTCCATTTGCTATTTTTCAACCTTGTCCTGGCTCAGGGTTTGCAAGTGGACACTCAGCAAATTCTATGAGTGATTCACTGACTTATTATAAAGGGGCTTTGTGTTTGGATGATTTTACCAAGTTGGTAAACATAGCAGGTTTAAGGTGGGCTTGGCTCAGTGACCGTGTTCAGCAGATCAGGTATATTCAATGCAGTCTGGACCTGCTATGTTCGATGTATGATGGGTTTATGGGAACCTAATCCCATCTAAGTCAAAGCAACTGAATGGTATTAGTGTCGGTCACTGCTGTAAGCCCCTTACCTACGTCGATTCCTTTAACTTTTGCAACAAGATTAGAAATCAGGTGCTTTTATTACTACCATTTTGTGGAATGGGAAATCTGAAGTTCAGAGAGGGTAACTGACCTGCCCAAGGTCACACAGCCTGAAAGGGACGGAAGGAAGACTCTCAGAAACAGGCAAATAGGTTTGAGATGTGAATTGGGGTTCGGATGGGAATTCCTGTCCTGTTTCTTAGCACATCTCTACCCTTCTCTGAGCCTCCGTTTATTCTCTGAAATGGGAGTGACACCTGCTACCTGGCTGGGTTAGGATGAGGAACAGTGACAGTGAGTCAGAGTCGTTTTGTAAGTTATAAAATGGGTGTGGAGGTGAGCGTGTGGCTTTGATGTTTGGGTAAGGTCTGCTCCTCTGAGGCTGAAGGTGTCTGTCTATGCTCTGGAAATTTCCAGGAGGGGGTGCCTGAGAGCAGAAGGGGAGCCCCAGGAGGGGGAGAGTCAAGTCAAAGGGGGATGGGTATGAAGCTTCATTTGCATATCATTAGCATACTCCAATCTACACGGTCTACATGTGCTTTTGTAAGCAGATGAAGTGAGGATGACGGTCTGTAAAGATTGAGCTCCTCTGAGGGACGGCTAGGGACAGCTGCCACTATCTGCAGAGATGTCGGTGCGGGGAGCAGGCACAGCCCTTGGGGGACCGTGACCGGCTCTGCTCAAGAAAGGAGGTGCCGTGTCCAGGGTGGCCAAGCCCCGGGATTAAGACAGGGCGCGCAGTAAGGGCCTAGGGCTGCCCAGCTCCTTCCTCAGCCAGCGCCTGGCTCAGTGGCCCATGAAGGGAACATTTCTTGGCTGGTGGCCGTAGGATGGGGGGAGGGCAGCGAGACATGATAGAAATGATCTCGTCCAACATTGACCGAGCGCTGCCCTGGAACAAGACATCCGAACACGGTCAGGCAACAGGCCGCTGCCTCTCCGAGATTCCAACTCCGTTAATAAAGCCTCTGATAAGTCCTGCAGCGCACAGCCCTGTCTGCAGCCTGGGTTCCTCAAGACTCTGAGCTCCCCCACGTCCCTTTCTCAGATGGCTATGGACACCCTGATGCAAATACTTAGTCCCTCTCTTTATGAGACCAACAGTAAAGCTGGGACCCTGGGGGTCCTGGAAGTGATGAGAAAAAGACTCAGAAACAGGCAAACAGGTGGGGTCGGGTCAGGACCGCAGGGCCAACGGCAGATGTGGCCGCCATAACCCTGGCTCTGAGTCTCACACACCGACAGAGAAGCAGGTGAATTGGTTTCTCTGGGCCTCGGTCTCCTTATCTGTAAAATGGAGGTGGGGAGATGTGAACACCGTCACCCACACTCTTGGAAAGCCCTGGGAGGAACCTATAGTCCAGCACGGGTGGGCTGTTAGCAGAGGGCCCAGTACAGCTGGAGATTCAAGCCAAGAGTGCTCTACCCCTGAGCTGAAAATTTCAGCCCTTTTCTGAAATTGTATTTCTAGACAGGGTCTAAGTTTGTTGAGGCTGGCCTCCAACTTGCAATCCTCCTGCCTCAGCCTCCCCAGTGGCTGGGATTACAGGCATGATTCACCATGCAGGGCTGAAATTGGCTTTTACTTTGAGCCCCTCATTATCAATCCTACTTTTAAAACCTCTTTAGGAAAGATCTGGCCTGTGCTCTCAGGGGATTAATCTAGCTGAGGTCACTAATTGCACATCGAACTGGCTTCTTACTGAAGCTCCAGTGGACCCATTTTATAGATGGAGGAATTGAGCCCTCCAGATGCCCTTAAGGACCCTAGAGGAGTCTGGTTCTTAGCTGGGGTCTCGGCCTGGGACTGTCAGATCCCGCCGGCTGAAAAGCACCTTCAAAGGAGGATGAAGGGAAAAACCCTACAAAAAACGTTAAGTCATGGGCTCCTCCTCTCCCACGCCCCATCCAGGTGTGGGACGGACAGAAGCTCCCAGAATGAAATGTAATGGAAACCAGCAGGAGGGGCGAGAAGAATGGCCCTGCACAGCACTATTATTAGCTCCAGTTTGTAGACACGCATCTACCGTCATGTGTTTTCCACAGACATGAAATCGTCCTGGAGTCTCGTGGGGCACCGATAACTAGGATCCCGGTCCCCAGCTGGGGAAACTGAGGCTCAGAGTGGGGAGGACTTTGCAGCCCCCATCCATCCCGTCAATGAACTGGGATTGGAATCCGGGTCTCAAATGCCATCTATCCCCTCCCTGTTTCTTGGGACCTGGCCACGCACCACACACGCTATTGTTCCACCACAATGTCGTCACAGCCACCGGGCTACCTGCATTCCAGGCGCCAGGTAGGGGCACACTGGAGCGTCAGGGCAATCCTCAGCTGTTTGAACACAGATTTCCAGATAAGGAGAGAGAGATGCAAAGAAGTGAAGTCATCTGCACGTCCTGCACAGGATCCAGGGCCACAGCCAGTCTCCCCCAGGGCCAGGCCAGCCCAGGGAGCCCCGCTGACCCCCCCCACCCCACCAGCAGCACGTGGCTGGGGCCCACCACACCCTGGGCCTCCGCAGCCTCGGTGCTTATAGTTCTGCCTGGAGCAGCTCTGGATCTCCCCCCCTGAGCTCTGCCAGGGCTTGTCCCTGCCCGGCTGCTGCTCGTGATGGCTTTTATTGATTTTTTGGCTGAGAGGCCTCTGCCAGGAACTGGCTCTTTTTAATGGAGCATGAACAGGGGCAGGGCCCTTACCGGCTCCTCCTGTCTCTGCCCCCAGCCGGTCCCCACTCCCAGGCTGGGGATGTGCCAGCCAGAGCCCTGGGCCCAGCATCGGGGACAGGCCCAGGCTCCACTGCTGACTCATGGCGCGACCTTGAACAGGGCCCGCCTGGGCCTCAGACACCTCAGCTGCAAAATGGGATGGACACCCGGCTCCTGCTGCCCCTGGGCTGGAGGGAGGGTTCTTTGGGGGAAAGAATGGTAAGAATATTTCTAGCCCAGATCCTTGTGCAGTCGGGGATGTTGCTGGTGAAGCAGGTGCTAAGCCTGCGCCCGGCTCCGTGGGGCTCACCAGCCAGCGTCACCCTGAGGCCTGCTGAACCCAGTTTCCTTCTCTGGGACAGGGGAGGTGACTCCCTGGAAACCCAGGCTGGGCATCAATAGTTTTGTACTTGGCATTAAAATGGTCCTTCTCGGCCCTGTGTGGCATGCTGGGGCATCTTACTGCAGTTCCTCCTTATTCTGTTGAGTCTGCTCTTTATGTTAAATGCTGTCTGACCTGCCCTGTTCTCCTGCCTGTGCTCAGATTGAGTGGCACCCAGAGGCCCCAGGGGCCAGGTCAGGTTCAGTCTGCCCCTGGGCCCGGGGAGAGAGCTTTTCCATGCAGATAGCATCTGGGGCTGCATTCTCCAGTCCTGAAGTCACCTGTGTCAAGATGTCACTGACTGTCCCCTAGCCAGCCCGGCCCTCCCCTCCCGGGCTGGTCCCCTCACTCACCTGAGACCTCCACGTACCCATCCTTGGTCTTCACCGTCAACTCCTCGGGCTTGAAGCTGTGCACATTGACGCAAACCTTCCAGGGCTCCCCGGGGAAGGGTGGGGGGCCCCTGCCCTCGGCGGGTACCCCAAACCTGGCCGCGGCCGTGGGCCCTCGGGGCACCATGCCCGACCTCAGGGTCCCCGGCCAGGCAGAGGAGAGGCGCGGCAGAGCCCAGTCGGGCCAAGAAGCGGTCAAGTCGTCTGGGAAGGGGTCCATGCCAAAGCCATCGTCCAGCAGGCGGGAGGAGAGGGGCGAGTCCCGGAAGGGGTCTCGGCGCAGGCGGCTTGGGTAGTGGCAGGAGAAAGGCATCTGACCGTCAGCCATGGTGACTGCTGAGCTCGGAGAGGAAAGGGAGGCTCAGAGAGAGGCAGCCACCGACCCTAGGTCACACAGCACGGCCAAGGCGCGGGTGAGATGGCTTTCAGAGCTTATTCTTCAGCCTTGGGAGGCAGGAGTCCAGTGGATCCTCCGTCAGGGAGCAGCAGAGCCAACCACGGCCAAGAGTGGCCGTGCTCACCAGGCTGGGGTCCCCACTAAAGGTGACCCCCCAACACGTGAGGCAGAATCTCCGAGGACCTTTCTCTGCACGGTTTCAGAGACCAGGGAGCCAGACACTGTCCTGCCGAGCTGTCCAGGCTCCCAGCCAGGGCTGCTGAGGTCGAGAGTGAAGCCAGAAGCTTAATAAACCTTGGGGACAGGCGCCTAGAAACTTCTCCTGGCTTCTCCAGGGCTCGGAGCCCTCTATTTATTTGCTGCTGCGGTGGGGGGGGGGGGCTGGAGGCGGGTTTTGCAAGCGCCTCCTGTCACCAGGGTATTCAAAGGTGATGAACCAGCCCCGGAGAATCTGCTGAGGGAACCGGCGACAGGGGGCGGGGAGGGGCCTGCCCTGCCGGTTCAGCCTCTCCGGACCCTTGCTCCTCCCCCTCCGCCCGCTCGGCCCCGCCCCCTCCCTGGTTCCAGAGCCACCTCCCCTGCAGGCCACTCAGGCCTGGCTATTAATAACCCTTGCCTGGCTGAGGGCTCAGGTCACCCTCTGCAAATACCTCCCTGTGAGCATGTCGCATCCTGTCTACCCCCTGGGGACCTGCAAAAGGGGAAGAGCAGGCAGGAGGCCAGGGGATCTGGACACGCAGATGGCCCTAGATTGGAATCCCCACTCACAGCCTGACCAAAGTCTGAGAGCCTCGGTGTTCCCTGAGAGTGATTAAAAAAATAGAAAAGAAAAGAACAACGGAAAAGTGCAATAGATTCAAATGACACGCGTTCAATCAGGGCCAGGGAGACTTTGGGCGGGGGCAGGGTGGGCATGGTGGCTGTGGCAGGTGTGGTCACCAGGAGCACTGGGGTTTTGCTGGGGGAGGAGGCTTGGGCTCCACTTCCAATATGGCACCTGCCAAGGGAATCAATAGCCATGAATGAGGGTCAGTGGGTGGAAATGACTAAGAAGAAAAGCAGGGGGTCAGAGGGGATTCCGGCTAAACCAACCCAACAGGATTCTGGCTGAAAACCGAGCAGGTCGTCAGGCCTTCCCTGGAGGGGGATGTGGGCTGAGGGGTGGGAGCAGGTCTGGAGGTGGACCAGATCCCCAGGGCTGGGGGTTGTTGCTACCCTGACTTCCTGGGACCCTGGTTAAGCCTGGAGTTTACAAGAAAATGCACCCCGGGGCCTCAGGCAGGTCACTTTGGTTAAGCCAAAAAAAAAAAAAAAAAAAAAAAAATCTCCTTCAGCTGTGACATTATTCTCATTATTTCCTGTGACATGGACTTAGTGGCTGCCTCCTCCTGGGCGGGTCATCGGGATACAGGGGACATTCTCAGGCGGTGCTTAGCAGAGGGATCAGACAGTGCTTTTATGTTTTCAACTCTGAATGATCAGTGACTGGCTCCATGCTGGGCTCTGCTCCAGGCCTTGACAAACATGAACTCATTAATCCGCCCCCACAAGCCTGTAAAGCAAGGGTTCTGTCATCCCATTCTACAGATGAGGAAACCGCCATCGGAAGTGTTCAGGAGCCCTGGCCCCAGATCCTGATTTAATCGTGGTGATCATCCTCTGTACCCTCCCCAGGCAGGACCTCCTGTTGGGACACAGGCTTGTTTTCTCGATCTCCCTGCTGTTCCCAAACTGCCCAAAGAGGGGACTGATGAATCCTCCTTTGGCCTGACCGCCCCTGGGACTTAATTCCCATCGAGGGTTAGGCGACTTTGGACATGCCATTTCCCCCTCTGAGGGCCTCAGGGTCTCAGCTCTGCCTTCTCCACCAGAGCGGGTGGGGTGGGGGTGCCCAGGAGCCCATGAGTCATAGGTCGAGCCATTATTTTGATATGAAGCAGCGCTCCAATGAAGCACTCTGCTAAAAATAATAATACACAGTGACAACAGTCGCCACCGTTTATTGACTCGTGTGGCACTGCCGTGGGTCCCGGAGACGCTGCACATAACCTCACCACGATGTCTTTGCTGTGGGCACCCCCCTTTTGCAGGTGGGGAACAGGTGCGGAGCCTGGATCCCCCCCCCCGCCCCCCTGCGCCAGGCAGGCATGGAGCGGACAGCCTGGATCTGCGGTGAGGGGGCTCACTGAGACCCTCTGGCTTTTTTTTTTTTTTTTTCTTCATCAGGAAGAGACCCCAGGGGCGTGACACCTCCGGAGTGGGACCACTGCTGCTCCATGTGGGGTGAGCTCATCCGGCTAGAAGCTTCTGGCTGACGTCAGGGCTGGGCACAGACTCCTCCTGGGCTCTCTCTGTAATTACAGCTGGGCGGGGCGGCTGGGTTTGAAGCCAGTTATGGGGAGAATCCGGGCAGATCGCAGGCCAGAAGTGGGGGCTGGGGCGGTGGCAGAGTGGGCGGGAGCCTGCATTTGTGTGCGCAGGGGTGGGCGTGTTCTGGAAGGTCCTCCTCTCCTTCCCCTCCCCCACCCCCTCCCCCCAGGCCGCCCTCCTAAACTCCACCCTGAAACTTCCAGAAGACCCCTGTACCTGGAAGGAGACTCTTCTGGAACCAGGGCACTGGGAAGGAGGGGAGCCCGGGCAGGGAGCGGAGAACTGAGAGTCCAGGGCTTCAGCCACCTTCCCAGGGGAGAAGGGAGCGCAGTGTACCCACTGTGCCCCTGGGAATTAGAAACCTGGTTCCTTAGCAGCTGTGGGGCCCTGGCCAGGCGCTGGCTTCTCTGGTAGGCACTTTCAGTGTGGGTGTCTTGGCTCCTCTCCTCCTCCCCACAGCCCTGGGAGGAAGCCACTTTTATTATCCCCGTTTCACAGATGAGGAAACCGTGAGGCTCAGCCATACGTGACTTGGTTATGTCCATGGATCTGGCTGAGGGGCAGAGCTGGGATCCAACCCTGGGTAGCTCCTGTCTGCTGAACTCCTGCAATCAGTCATGGCTCACATTTATGGAGCACTGCCTGTATACCTTAGGAGCAACTGGTTTTGTTCCTGACCTCGTTGCAGCCTTGTGATTCAGAGAGCTGAAGCCGCTTGTCGGGGGCCACACAGCCAATGGGACTTGGGAGTTCACAGTGATAACTAGGATGGGGTGAGGTCGCCCACAGCCCCTGCCTGCGGCCCAGGACACTGTCCTTCTTCTCCTCCTTGCGTATCCGGGTCAGGCCAGCTTTCTGTCTGGGGACACTGAGGACAGAGGCAGCTGCTAGTCCTGCTCGCCCGGCCACCTAGTGACCAGTCAGCGAACACATGTGGAGAGTGGTCAGGTGAGAACAGGGGCAGGCCCTGGGGAGGGGGCCTCCAGGCAGATGCTCTGGGAAAAGGAGAGGGGACGGGAAATACCCACAACAATCCTCAAGGCAGACAGCCTGGGGGAGGTGACATCACTCTGCGTTCCTAAAACTAGGGCCCCAGGGCCCCGCAGGCAGAAGCAACAGCGGAAGCCACACAGGTAGGCAGGGAGGGAGTGGCCGGCCTAGAAAGGGGCCTGTCAGTTGCCTATCCGCTCCTGCAGGAAGAGTGGACATTTCCTCTCGTCCCCTGGGGGAATTCCAGCCCCAGGCCCTCTACACAGGGGCACTCACTCGACCCCTGAGCCCCATCCCCAGCCCTATTTTGCATTGTATTTAGAGACAGGGTCTCCCTGAGTTGCTCAGGGCCTCGCTGTTGCTGAGGCTGGCTTGGAACTCACCATCCTCCTGCCTCGGCCTCCTGAGCAACCTCTCTGGGCCCCTTCCCATGCTGTGCGCCCTCCTCCTGAGTCCTCACCCTCTGCCGCCTGCGGACCCCATTCTCCTGGTGCCTGAGACAAGAACCCTCCAGGGTTCAGGGGACCCTGAGTTACAACTCTACAGGAATCTCCGGTGCTCTCCAGGGCGGGACCCTTGGTGTCCTGTTCAGGGTGGCATCATCCCCATGGCCTGGGACACTACAGGAGCCGCAGACCCTGGCTGAGTGGACGGTGTCCTGTGTGTCAGATCAGTCGGGGCAGGCAATGGCCAAAGGAGGCAGGTTTAAAAGGGCCGCTGAACAGGCTTTATTGAGCTATCACTCCCCGGCGGAACTCGATCAGACCCCCAGAGGGGACAGGAGAAGGGTCTGAGGAGAAACCACGTGGAAGCTCGACCAGACTGGACTTTTATGGGGCTTACAGCAGGAAGGGAAGGGCTTGGGACAGGAAAAGGTGTTTCTAGGGTCCCTTGCCCCCTTGGAGTTGGTCAGGGGAGTTGGCTGAACTCCAGGATTGGCCAGGGTGTCCTGCTGATTGACAGGCGTTAGTCAGGAGATCTGGCTGATGGACAGGCGTTTCCGCTGGCATCTGATTGATGCAAAGCGCAGGCTGCTTTGTTCTAAGTCGCCACCAAGTCGCCGCCACTGACCTAACATTGTGAGCGGCAGAATCTGGACCCCACAGCCCCCGTGGCCACCTCTCTGGACAATGAACTCGACTGTCGGGGCAGACAGTCCTGGGGGCTACGCAGTCTGGCCTCATTCATCTTCCTGGTTTGGCCTCTGGACCCTGATCTGCCTGAATTTCAAGCCCAGGCTGAGTAAACAGAATAAAATAAACACCCTGCAGTCCCCTCTGGGACCAGCCGGTGCCCCAGCGGCGTCCTGTGAAGGCTGGACTGGGTTGTGGAGGCCTAACTTCCTCCTATTATTGTCTCCAAAATTCCTTCCCAGGACCTCGGCTCCTGAGCACCTCTACAAATAACCATCAAAGAGCAGCAATGTCGCAATAGCTCAGCCTGTGTCACAGGGCTGGGACCTGCGGTCACCGAGGCAGCGTGAAGACACTCCCACCCCAAACCCTGAGTCTTGTGATCAAGTCAGAAAGATTTCAGGCCCATGGCTCAGAGGAATAGGCACGAGTTTATTGAAGGGATAGAAAAGGAGAAAGGGGACACTCTCAAGGGAAAGGGTGGGTCCCCTCAGAGAGGAGAGGGACAGCGTGCCCCTCCTGCACTCCAGTTTCACTGGGGGAATCCCAGAGAAGTTTCTAGAAAGCCCTGCCCAGGTCCATCTCTTGACTTTTGACGAACAGCAGGATGACATCCATCAGGTCCCCTCTGCCGTGATAACTCTAGGTCCCTTTGGCCCATCATGACCGGGTCGAATTAGAACCTGTCCCTACAGATCTTAAGGTGGGTGGGGATGATCTTTACCTCCCTGGGTTCTGGGATCTGGTCTGTGTGAGGGTCACAAAAGTCCCCTCCTTCAAGGTAGCCTGGGTTCTTCTTATTGGCCTTTGGGCTAC